AAAAGGTCCAAACGTTTTTAGAGGCTCAGCCTCTGGGCCTGAATCTGGCCTTGGCCCAAAACGTGTACCTGGCCACAAACGGACAACAGCACACACGTTAGAAAACAGCAGCAATAAATAAATAGAAAAATATAAAAATAATCTAAAGTTGGCGTTTTTCTGATGCAGGCCCAAGTAAAAATGCCATAGGGCCTTCAGGTTGCGGTCACGCGACCTGGGGGCCCTATTCCAACCTCGGGTCCTGTGAGGGGCCCGTGTGTAGGCTCTCAGCATGTAACACACACACACACACACAAACACACCCACCCAGGACACACCATCTCTGCATCCTGAATGTTGGACGCTGAGGCTTGAGGTGTGTAGCGTCAAGACTTTCGAACAACTGCACCTTGATGATTGACAGTGTTGCTTTCACTTTTTGTGGTCTTGGAACTATGAGAGAAAGAGTGCGTATGTGTTCGCGTGTGTGTGCGTGTGTGCGTGTGTGTGTTGGGTGGGGGGTGGGGGGAGGGGGGGGGAGAAAGAGAGAGAGAGAGAGAGAGAGAGAGAGAGAGCACCAACAACTTGGCAAGTAGATTATTTGTACGGATCGTGGTTAATAGGTGGTGTCATTTTTGGCAAATTTTTCACCGAAACTGCCATAGTTCCCTGAACTTTTGCTTTTTTTTGTTTTGTTTTTTTGTTTGATATGTATAAACTTTAGGGTGTATCTGTATTGAATTTCGGCGTATTTGGATGAGTAACGAAAAAGTTAGCAAAAACATCGAATTCGGGAAACGTTTTGCCGAACTTCAAAAGCTACTTTGAATAGGGTTTTATAGTGTTGTTCAATTTTATTACTATTATTTTTTTGCCTGTTTTTTTTTTTTTTTATGTTTGTATTATGAGCCCGCATAGTCTGTTTGCAAAAGTTTCGACCACATTGCTTGCAATGATGTGGCAAAAAACCCCGAATTTTGGGTCTTACGTTAACCGCGTGTCGGTCTATGGGGACCCAAAAAAAAACAGACGAAGAAACCGAAAAAACCTGCGCGCGTGTGCTTCCGAGAGAGAGAGAGAGAGAGAGAGAGAGAGAGAGAGACCCTCGCTACCTAAGAGACCCCCTTGCCTACCCCCAATAAGATCAAGTGTAGTAACTTCTCTGTTCAGTTTCATATTTGATCCTGGTCCATGGAGACCGTTTTCTTCAGTAAGAGAAAAACAAAGCATGCACGAGAGAGAGAGAGAGAGAGAGAGAGAGAGAGAGAGCAACTAGGCGCCTCGATCCCCTTTCCCCCCCGCCACGATCAAGTGCAGTATTTGCTTCGATCAGCTTCGCATTCGATCCTCCCTCTCCGCACAATCAAGTGTAGTATCTGCTCTGTTCGGTTTCATATCTGATTCGTGGTCCATTGAGACCTTTTTATTGTATAAAAATAAAAAAAAACATGTGCGTGCACGAGCAAACGCGCGCGCGAGAAAGAGAGAGAGGTCCATCGAGATGGATAAGCGGGCACGAGCAAGATGCGAGGGGAGGGGAGAGAGAGAGAGAGAGAGAGAGAGAGAGAGAGAGAGAGAGAGAGAGAGAGAACCTGTTGTTACCAACTGGGTGTCCCCCCCACACACGAGCAAGTGTTGTATCTGCTTCGATCAGTCCGTGGTTCATCGAGACGGTTAAAAAGGGAGAAACTAAAATACAAGCATGCCGAAGACGCGGGAGAGAGACTAGAGAGAGCGAGAGAGAAAGAAAGAGAGACCCCAGTCTAACTAAATAAGCGCCAACTGTCCCCCCTCCCAACGATCAAGTGTACTATCTCATCCATGGTCCGAAAAAAAAGCGTGTGCTAAAGACGCGTGCGTGCACATGTGCACGGTAGAGAGTGAGAGAGAGAGAGAGAGAGAGAGAGAGGACGGGAAGCCAAGAGAGGGAGGGAGTAAACAAGGGCTTGAGCAGGATGGTAGATCGGGACCAATTGAAAAAAAAAAAAAAAGGAAAATCCTCAAGCCTATGCGCGCACCACAAAGAGAGAGTCCATCGCCATCTTCGTGAGAGAGAGAGAGAGTCCAACTGCTTGGCAAACATTCCATTTGTATTGTGGGCGTGGCCGCAGCAGGTCCGGTAGTATACTTTGAAATGCCTTCCTAGGAGGTAATGATTCAAGGCTTCTTTAAGAGCAAACAACTCTTTCTCGTACGTGGAAGCGGCGACCTTTTTTTTGGTAGTCTACAAGATATAAACTCGACGGGTCTGTACCCATTCTCGTGATTGTGCTCTAGTACAGCACGAATCCTATATTGACTGGCATGAGTGGTACCTGTAAATGGCAAAGATGGATCCACGATCTTCAAGACCGTGTACTCTATCAAGCACTTCTTCAGACGCTTAAAGGTTGAGGTACAATCCAAATCCTACTTTTAGACTGTTTCGTTCCTGAACGACCTATGCAATGGAGCACAACTATTATAACAAAGTTCCATACGAATTTTCGTTAACAGTTGGCCTGACCAAGGAACGAGCGTAGTTCATTTAACGTACACAGCGCCGACCAATATCCGATTGCTGCTATCTTAGCGTTATCCCGGTTTGATTCCATCTCCATCCAAAATGTCTCAAATACAACGCCTGGTGCATAGCCCATGCACATTTCTCTGAGTTCAACTTAAGCTCGATTTTACGCAACTTGCTTAGCACTAACCGAAGGTGCTGCGCGTGTTCTTCAAGCACCTTACTAAGAATCGGAATGTCATCTAACTACACAACAACGAATTTATCCCAGAAGTCACGAAAGAGTTCATTCATACAACACTGGAAGGTAGCAGGGGCTATTGTCAATCCAAACGGCATGACCCTAATCTTATAGTAGCCGTAATGAGTCGTAAAGGCAATCATGTGTCGATCCTGAGGCAGTACCTTAGTTTGATGTTAGCCTGATTTCAAGTCGAATCTTTGAGAAATATTTACAACCTTGTACTATATCCTAAACCTCATCATCCGTGGTAATGGCTTACATTTCTTTACGGTAATCGGGTTGAGACCCCTATAGTCTATGTACATGCGCAGATCGTCCGCTTTCTTTGGCACAAACAAGACCGGT